TTTTAAAGATGGGGACGATAATGGCTTCGTTCCACATTGATGGTACACTCTCTGTCTCCCACACCTTCCTGAACAACCCAGTTAGAGCCATTGTGAGAGTCTCGCCACCATCTTTAAAAAGAGCCGGGGGTAATTTGTCTGGGCCGGGCGCCTTATGGCGTTTCAGAACTTGGAGTTCCTTACGGACCTCCGCTTCGGTGGGTGGGTCGGTACTAACCGACCAAGGAGCACTCGGGCTAATGATAGTAGACACTGAAGCTGGTGGCCAGCTGAACTGCTTCCCGAAGTGCTCTGCCCAGCGTTCCAGGCGTCTTTTCAGGCTGGTAATTGGAGTGCCATCTGCCTCACAGACCGTCTCGCTGACACCTTGTTTCTTGCTGCCGGTGGCTCGTATGAGTTGGAACAGCTTCCGACTGTTGCCAGATGCAGCAGCTGACTCCATCTCACACGCACGTTCTGACCACCAGGCTTCGCGGTCCTTACGTAAACACTGTCTAATCTTGCGCGTGAGCGCCTTTCGCTGATTGTTGTATTCGCTGCCAGCCGGAATGGACCGGCGTTCATCCATGAGTTGCAAGGAACTCGCAGAAACCCAGTGGTTGTTAGCGGAGCATTCTTTCAAGCCGCAAGCGGCTACACTCGCCTTTTGCATGGCACCTTGCACATGAAGCCAATGTTCATCTATACTACTTGGGGGTTGCTGGCAAGCATTGTTTTTAACTCATTCTGATATTTCAAAGAAGTAGCAGGTGCTACTAGTTTGCTCACATCAACGCTTAGACGACGGCTTTTACGAACCCCACCAAATCGCAAGACGAACTTGGCACACACTAACGCATGATCGGAGTCCAGGCATGTGCTCCAGAAGGAGCGACAGTCTTGTATGCATCCTCGCCACCGGAAACTGACCGCGATATGATCAATCTGAGTCCAAGCTTGCTTCGCAGAGGGAGGACGCCAGGTAGCGCTACGGCGATGGCTGTGCCGGAAGTTGGTGCTAGCTAGAAATAGGTTGTGATCCGCGCAAAGCTGCAGAAGACGGTCCCCATTATCTGACCTGCGACCATGTAGTCCCCACTGACCACCTAGACGATTCTCCTCTGAGCTTAGACGCCCCACCTGTGCATTCAAGTCCCCAGCCAGCACTACGATATCCCTCCGACCCGCCTGTTTCAAGAGATCGCTCAGTTGGTAGTAAAACTCATCCTTCATTGCATCCGGGCTGCAATCCGTCGGTGCATAGGCAGAGACAACAAATAGACACCGCCTATCTGGCCTACTACTCCTTACTTTCGTATAACCTTCCAGCCTCACAGCACATAAACGACTGTTAATGGGAATCCAGTCGAGCAGTGCAGCTTCGGCTCTAGCGCTCAGTGCGACACCGACACCAGCTACGCCGGATGCCGACGCCACAGGGTCCCCGGATAAGCGCAGGTGGTACATACTACTAGAACTTCCAGATGGAGAGGATAGTCGAAGCACTTCACTGGGATCTTGAATGCGGGTCTCCGAAATGCAGCAGACATCGATAGCGAGGCTTTCCAAAGTTCTTGCCAACCCTGCCTGTTGTCCGATTTGCATCAGCGTCCGAACATTGTAGGTAGCCAGCTTGAACGCAGCACGCGGTTTCAGGATATCTGTGTTAGATGTCACATTGGGAACAACCATTTTGAGGACTACTCACTAACATCTCGAAACGACACGGATAGGCTGGGAATCTCGACAAAGGCGAAAGGCTGTCGAAGGTTAAGAAGTCAAGGTTAGCAAAGGTAAAATACAGGAAACTATGTATAAAAATAAAAGTAAGGTAGGAAGGACACAAGTTACTTGGGGCATCAATGTTACTTGAAACATTGTTTATAGCGCGCGATGAGTTTTGATGAGAGTTTACTGTTTTATTTCCTTCATTGTGCGAGGGCTGAGATACTGCCCGAGCGCCCAGACCAAAGCAGGTGATTTTATTAAGAGACCACCCCCGAGCCTTTGACTTGGAGTCTAATCCGCAAGGCAGCGGAGCAGCGTCAGGAGATGCATTCCCATGGTCGCCGGTGACCCATATGGGTTCATACGCCATTCGATCTGATTGGATACTGGAGCCCATGTACCCCACGGTAACTGCTTTTAGTTTAACCGCTATCCAGAAAACCTTTCTGAAATGGTAGGACTTGCAAAGACAGAGTCCCAGTCAGTTTAGCTTGTTGGGTCATTGCGGTATTCAAACCCGACCACCACGGCAAAGTAGCAGTTATCGGCCAAGATGACCGATAAGAAGACCAGATGACAGCATGAAAAGGAATTCGCATAATAAAAGTACTTGGACCGGTCAATATACATATTTTCATAACTTTGTTCCTCTCCGGTATACAGAAGAAATTTAGTAAAGATCCTCAGGTATAGGGTCAGAGTTATTTGTTGTAAAGAAGCGATCGTACACGACCTTAAGGTTGTATGCGACACGTGAATTGAAAAAAGCTACCATGAAAAGTTCATCACTAAGTACATGGCCAAGAAAGTAGAAAAGAATTCTCACGTATCTCTTAACAAGAAGCCTCTATATATACGACCACAATTCAAAGGTGATATACCACATGAAATAATAACCAACAAGTCGAGAATATCGATTCAAAGAACATTTAATGCTAGTAAGATGCAGCTTATTATTTTTCACATAACCGCCTGTGATTCAAAAACTGGACGATCAAACACCTGGACTAGTCACCTCTAATTGTATCCATCAATTAAACTGCTCTTCTGGATTCATTGCTCTAGGCGCCTAATTTCCTCGCGCCTTGAAACACCTAATAGTATGGTTAAATAAGGGTGATGCTAAAACCATCAACAGCTCTACATCGGATCACCTCGTCCAAACAGGTCACAAAGCTATCATCTATTGGGTATCGAATAGATTACCAAAGGCTTCTCGAAACCGAACACTCCAAACAACAGAGGCTATTGCAATTTGCTTAAATCAACCGGAGCTACCTAGCTGTGCCACTTCTATGTGTATCTACAAATTTAGTTGCTCCAGTGGAGAGAGCTATATGGTGCAAACAATTAGACAGCCCAACAAACGCATCATTACTGAGCATATTCCTTTATGGTTCGAGAAAGGCCAAATAAAATCTACAAGAAGTTATGTTTTGACTCACTTGATTGATAGCGATCACCAAGTGGACAGAAGTAGTGTCTTGAAAGTTATCTATCGCATTCCATCGAGCCTTTTGAACAGAATTCGAACCCGTCGTTTACACATAGCCGAAGGTATGAGAATTAATTCGAGAGAACAACCCTAGTCTTTGCATACAATAAAAGAAGTTTGTCCTACCTTTGTCTGTCCCTTGGCTTAGGTAGATTCTAATTAACAAAAGCCCCCCTCCCCTTTCTTATTTTTCATTTCCTTTGCACCTTTATGATATTTATTTAGGCTCCGATTATGCGTCCACTTCACCTATAGTATTGCGTAACTTTTAAGATTTGACCTAATTTATTTATCGAACTGTCTACATATACGGACATATTACTACCTCCGTTATTCTCATGGCGATCTGCATAAACCTTATAATGATTACTTTTGTTATCATTATAATCACCGTTATTACTGATGTAAAGATTTACCACATTATTATCATTATTATTTGGTCCACAAAATCACCGACATTGCTTAAAATTTTTATGCATAAATCTATGTAAATTAGAGTAAAACCTGAAGATCTAATTGAAAACAATATTGTTCGCATATATCTTGTTCTAATGTTCGATAAATTGAGAAAATCCATTCGAAGCAAGTTTAATGCCGATAAGCTGCAGCTTCTTTTCTTACACAGCCAGTTGCGACCCCGAAACTAAAAGATGAAGTATTTGTATCTATCAGTTTGGCTGCTTCCGTGGAACCATTCATATTAACCATACTCGAGAACCCCTAGCTGTATGGCTAAATAAAGGTGTTGTTAAAACCATCAACAGTTCTACACTGGATCACCTCGTCCAAACAAATCACAAAGCCAACACTGAAGAGTCTTTCTCTATCATCTGTCAGGTATGGAATAAATTTCTAAAGGTATCTAGATGGCGATCACTTTAGACAGCAGAGGTCATTCCAATTCGCTTAAATCGACCGGAGCTCTATGTGCAAAAGAAACAGGTCCAGCCAGTCACTGTTACTACCCTGGCTTGCTATCAAACCTATAAATCCTTAAATTCCCTGTTATTCCTCTTAATTTACCTGATATTTAGTTTAGTGTTACATCTTATGCATATAATCTCTCTCTCTCTCAGTGATACTTTTCAAATGTGATCTATTGACACTTACTATTGATTCAATGTAACTTAAGACAAGATTGATGTTCTTAATACCAACATTTCTTTAATTATTATGGCCAGATAAATGTAAATTCCGATGATGAATTTATCCAAAAGCGTATTCTTTGTTCACTAATCAGTCTTTTGAAATGTTAATGGGAATTTTCAATTAAATTGAAATGCTAATCCTCCAACTCCCAGTGTACCTATCCTACTTAGACCAGAAAACTATTTGAAAAAACCAAACTAATATCGGTGACGTCTGCCTCGCTACCTAGACTGCTTGCACGGACAACCAAACGTAACACAACCGAGCGCCAAATGGTTAGGATGCCTAACGACATACCTTCATCTTAACCAGCCAACTTAAACGGTGAAGGTCAGCATCTAATCGTTTCGGGGAATTATTTGCTGCTATACACTGTTAACTGACTAGAGATTGTACATTCATAATCGGACTTTACAAGACAGCGTCCCTTTAACTTAACCAATTGACTAAAACGGTAAAAGTCAGTAATATCCAATAATGAGTGATCATAAATAGTGTATGCTAATAATTTTGATGAATTACCGCCGCATAAACTTTCATTCTAATAAAAGTATTGGTTGTACCATAGATTAATCCATTTATAAATGATTAAGAAAATTTTAAAAATAACAAAAGTCAGATTAATTAACTGGATTGCTTATCATTTCAGAAAAGTGGAATACTGCCGATGGTAAATTCACGTCCGCCAGAACCTGTTGGGTGTCAGCTGTTAGAAATGACTACAGCACCTGGTAAGATGATAACATTTTATATTCTTATTTTTTGGAACGTCAGTGACGCAAAGATAGAATACTTGCCAGCCATAGACGTGGTCTGGAGTTCGATCTCCGGCCGACGCACTGCTTAACCTCGCTAAACCCGGAATAAGGCTGGTAAAGAGGGAAGGTTGGGCGTGAGACTAGCAACACCATCTCGTATAAATAAACACCACTGTTACCGAAACTTCAAAGCGCCAGTTTGAAGAACTATGTTTCACTCGGAACGCAAAGGAATAAAAAAAATATTTATCTTTATTTGTGTATTGCTACATTTGTTCGTTTCATTTCATGGGTATACAAAGAAGCACTCTCATAAAGTTATACTTTTCACTGTGAACCTATCACTATGTAATTCACTGACGTTAAGGTGACCTACATCGACGGCTTGTTAAAATCGGAATATAATATTCTAGGTATCAAAACAGCTGTTTACAAAGAATAATTTCCAATTGAAAGATTACTATCCAGTGATCAAGGAAATGCCACTAAACACAACATTATTCAACAACCATTTGCAGTCTCACGCAGCTGACGATGGGCCACAACTTTTGTGTGAGGGATGGTTATAATAATAATAATTTGCATTATTGCAAAACAGTACTTGTGATACAGAGTGGAATTCTCAGCACTTCACTACAGTATTGCATCCAGTTAGTACATTAACAACAAATAAAATTCTACGTAGATGAAGGGTAATCTCAGTTCATTATGACAACAACATATTGGCATGTCGATAGCAAGCCAAAAGTGAACAGAGTGTTTGAAGGTGTTAGAAAAGTAGATACTAGCATGTTTACTGGTGTAAGCGGTAACAAAAAGGTCGAGATACACCGAGTGTGAAAGAACGAAGAAGAATGTTTTAAGTAGAGTTTGTAAGGAAGAGAGAAACAAAGCAGCACATGACAAAAAAAAGGAAAGAAAAGAAAGAAAACGTTGTACCTATAAATGATATGAGTTGGAAAGACGAGATCCAATTTCTCTACTAACTAATTAATAAGTTATAATTTTCACGCCTAATGCTTTCTTTATCGCACAGAACACGAGCTAAGTAGGGTATGGTTTAGTTTTTGTACTTGCTAGTGCGAGCATATAGTTTTCTATATAGGCTTCTGGTTTTGTCTGATGAGATACAAGGGAAGAGTTGTGAATGAAGAGGGTGTTGTGAGTCAGATAAAATGGATTTAGACCATTTTTCACATGAGTCCATGTGCCTGTCCACCAGAGTATTAACAAGCTCGTTAAGTGGCACGTTGCTTACCCTGCTGACAACCTTTAACATCCTGCGTAATAAGGTATAGTCTTTATTCAGTAGCCCCGAAAAAACTAAGGGGGAACAATAGAGAATAATAGGCAGGATGCAAGAGTTAACGAATCGTAGGAGTAAGGGTTGGGTTTTTCAGAATTTCTTAACTACGCAGGTGCGAGGAGTTGGGTTAGAACCTGTGGCCGCCTAGACCAATTAGTCACAGCTCCACAATATAACTCTTTATTACAAAAAGGATGAGATGGGTAGACAGTAGTAATTCTCAATGTTTGCAGATGTTTTAACGAATATAAATTCATTTTCGGGTTAACTGGCATTGGCCTTCCATTGATTATATTAGGTCAAAATACACGGTATCTGTTGACAACAACTGGTACCCTGTTGCAAAAGAGATGGATCCCATGGAAAATGCTTTGACAGTTGAAATGATGGGTGCATGGTTTGAGTCTCCTTAGTGTACACATGATCATTCACTAAAAATCCGGGAGTGTCTAGCTGATGAATCCCAAGTGGGACGAAATGAGCATTCTGGTTTCCACTGTTATTATTATTGCTCCCTTGGGTTCCTAGTGGAACATAGGGCTTCAACTGCACCTCTCCACTTGCTTCTGTCTTCCTTCTGCTGTACTTTTCACCTGCATCCATCTTAGTTCATACTCTTTCAACTCCTCTCTCTTCACACGATCTCCTCCATATCAACCTTGCACTGATGTCCCACTCGCCGCTTCCCTTTCGGGTTCCACTCGAGTAATGGCCTGACGCGCGCGATGTCATCCAGCCCGGCGGCCTCCTCAACCACGAGTGTCCAATCCATCCATCTCCACTTTCTCCTGCATATTTGTTGGTTGGTGATTGGTTCTTGTTTTGTTTCTTTGTTCCAATAGTTCCTGTCCGGCCATCTGATCTTCAGTATAGAGCGAAGACGGTTGTAAATAAAGGCCTGCAACCTTTTGGAAATATTCTTTGTGACCCGCCCGCCAAGTTTCTGATCCGTATAGAAGAACTGACTTTAAGTTTGTATTGAGAATTCGAATTTTGTTGGTGATGCTGAGTGACGAAGATTTCCAGATTGATTTCAGGCTGATGAATGTGTTTCTCGCCTTTCCGGTTCTCGCTCGATTTGAAATCCTCGTCCGCTCCTCCTGTAGTTGAGACAATGCTCCCTAGATAAGTGAATGAAGTAACCTCTTTCAAATCCCTCCCGTTGATGGTGATTGACTCTGGATGTTGCTGCTGTTGTTGGTTGGTTGGTTATTTTCATCACCTCCGTCTTGTCTATGTTCACCTGGAGTCCTGTCTTCGCCGGCTCCTTCTTCCACCAGTTTGTCGGTTTTCGCTTGTAAGTCTTCGATTTTGTGTGACATCAAACATAAATCATCCACGCGCGAAATCGAGGTCTTCTAGGTTCTTCATGTCGGTCCAGGATATCCCTGTCTTCTCGTTTCCCACTGTCTAACTCATAATCCAGTCCACCACAATTAGGAATATCATTGGTGATAATAACCCAGCACCCTTGTTTGACTCCTGTGTTTACTCCAAACGCCTCGCTGAGTTTTCCGTTGTGGATCACTTGACATGGGGCGTTGTCGCACAGCTATTGAATAAGGTTGATGAATATTTGGATTACGCTGTAGTACTCGAGTAATTTCCAAATTACTTCGCGGTCAACTTGCATTGTGGCCTATCCCCAGCTTTCCTGAAGGCTTTTAGCTTCACCTTGAAAGTCCCTTGTACTAAATAGCGGTCTGAACCCACATCTGCTCCTATCCTCGATCTTGTGTCTAGTAGGCTCCGTCTCAACTTCCTTGAGATTGAAATGAAGTCTATCTGGCTTCTGGTGTGTCCATCTGGTGAAACCCATGTCACCTTGTGTATATCTCTCTGCGTGAACACACTGCCACCAATCAACAAATCATTGAAGGCGCAGAAGTCTGAGAAGAGTTCACCATTGTCGTTCATTTCACCGAGGGCCTCACGACCCATGGTGAGTTCTCTTCCTGTGTTGTCTCCTCCCAGCTTCGCATTCATGTCGCCCATCAGGATTTTGATATCGCCATTTGGGACGTTGTCCATTACCGTTTGTAGTTGTCTGTAGAACGCCTCCTTCTTCCCTTGTTCTGAGACGTTTGTAGGCGCATAGCATTGAATGACTGTAACTTTCCTTCCTTTTGAGTTGAACCTGACTGTCATTATCCTAGAGGAGATTGGTTCCCACTGCATGAGAGCTTTGGTTGCTGTTGGTGACATCATGATGGCCACTCCCTCGGTATGCTCATGGTTGTCCTCTAGGTGGCCGGAATAGATTACTGTCTCTCCAGTAGGTAGTTGGCACCTTCCAGTTCCGTTCCATCTGCTCTCGCAGATTCCCAACACTTCTATTCTGTACTTTCTCATTTCAGCGGCTATCTGGGCAGCCTTTCCAGTTTCGTACATTGTACGAACATTCCAGGTACCCATCCTTACTTTTGCTTTCATCAAAAGAAGGTACATCGGCTGACTGGCTTCCCGAATTCTTTCACCGGCCTGCGTCATTTCGCTTCTCCGATTCCAGCAAAAAATAAGGTTATTTTTCATGATTTTAAAATTCTTAATATATTCATTCGTTGAAGTTTCTGTAGCGATTTGGTTGTTTTACGGGGGTGGAGTTGCTAGCACCACGCCCGAACCCTCCCTCTTTACCTGGACTTGGGACCGGCTAGAAAACTAGCAAGCTAGTAATCCACTGTTAGTCATCATCAACCGAGATAATACAGATTAAGGTTGAAAAAACCCTTAGAAGTTAGCTAGAAAATAATTTTCTGTTAAATGTATCTGAACCATCAATAATAAATAGGTGATTAAAGTACTTACGGTATTACGTAGACAGATGATATATTTAAAAAAAATAGTATGACAAGACTTAATATAGTCCGCTTAATTAGATTACTTTGTCTCACAATTGAAATGATTTACATTAACACAGGCATTACCCGGTTTTTACGCAGTCTGATACCAAGAAATTCTGTTTTTCTTCAGTATCTTTACTGATGTAGTGGAACTATAGACTGTTTTTTTTCACTCAAACAGCTCTAGAGATAGGTTTTTACACACAGTAGAGAGGTGTACTTCTGACATATGCTTAGTTACAAACCCTGTTCAACCTGAAGACGTTGTTGCCTGGTGTTATATGAAGGAAATATAGTTCTCAGCATAATGAATGTGTATTCATTAATTCAATCGCTGTTTGGCAATCGCATGTCAGGCTCACTGAAACACAAAATAGTAATTCAGATAGAGAGGCTCATCTTCTGAAGTATCTATAATAATTAGTCATTTTCATATAATACCCATTGTAACTTCCCATACAGTCATTTATGGCTGTAATTACCTTTTTTTACCATATGAATTTTATGTTGTGGGACCTATAAGCCTTCATAATACAGAAGAAGACAAAGAGATGAGTAATGGAAAGTTTCTTTTTCAGAACTGTATATTTGAGACCTTAATCCAATCTAGTTCTGAAAATAAGAACTGTTCATTCTTATTTTGGGTATTTTTCTTCAATCACTGTCGTTCTATCCAGTTTGTTATTTCAAATCTTTAGCCATATGCAGGATAAGCAGGAACACAGATATTTCAGGAAATATATTATGAAAGGTCTATTTTATGCTGACGATAAGGTGACTTGTTTTCGCCAAATACTCGCTCATATACTATCGACAGGACGAAGATTCGTGATTCCCTAAGACAAACCAGCGGGACGTACTGTACTGTTTTCTCAGGTTCTTGGTTTATGAAAGCTTTCTCAACCTCACTTCAAGTTGGTGGATCAGTGTCAAAGCTTAAATCACATCAGTTGACCAAGGGGCTTGAGAGTGTTTAGTGCACACTTAGTTCTGTTCCTACTCCCCCCCTCATCTCCATTCCAGTTATCTTCACTGTGACACCTTTGAAAAATGTATTGCTATTGTTTTCATAGGATACAATCTTATTGGCAGATTTAAAAAGTCATTTAATGTTTCATACAGCAATGGAAGACACATTTGATTTGGTTGTGTTCTCTGAGCTGATTGATTTAATTGAGAGGCTTCCAGTGTCTTTCTGGACAACGTCTTTAGCGCAAGCTTTAAATAAATATAAAGTGAACTTGTTTGAATTCTGTATGAAGAGTATCTCCTGACAGCCATCTGTCGTGATTGGTTGTTAATTTGCATTTGTATAGATCGTCTCTGTTGACCTGGAATTTGAACTTTCTTGTCAGGTGATTTACTTTTTATTAGTTAGTAAACATTTTATCGCAGATTTATCTGAGTACCAGGCGCGTAGAAATTCCCTGGAACTTTTAGTGTTTTTCCACAATCAAAGAACCTAACAGTAAAAGAAGACAAGATCAATACTGATATGTATCCACATATATATATTTATGTGTGTGTGTGTGTGTGCAGGTTGGTCTCTCTTTCTGTTTGCTCGCTTAGTCTGTGACCATTTCACTTGTGTGAACTTGTCTCCTTTATTAATGTGTATTCTCCTTATATTATATTATATATAATATGAGTGTTTGTTGACAGTCCGTTGCTTAGTGACATATATCCATATATGGTTGTTTGACATGTCTGCTATATATATTTTGTTATATATATATTTCGTTCACACATTCCGTGTGAACTACTTTACTTACTTACCACTTTGGTGTGAGACCATTTTATTTTCGTCTCCTTGTGTTTGGACAATAGAAGTATCATCGCAAACCTACTGGTCTTCTGATTTCCGCCTTCTCGCGTCAGGACTATTAGTTTCTCGACCAGACCATAACAATAAATTAGTCGACGAGTACATAACAATTTGGCGACGGGGAAAACTAGTACATAACAATTTGGCGACGGGGAAACTAGTACATAACAAATACCATTTACAAAATAAATTATATACATAAACTGCAATAAACACTACATTGGCAAAAGTGGGAATCCCGTTTGAATCAGAATCCAAGAACATACAATTAGCTATCAAAAAACACGATATGTATTCTTTCATATCAGTACATGTAGACAATTACGGACACCAATCTGATCGGGAAAAATGTAGGGGAATTTCTAGAAGCCAGATAGTCAAACGAATTAGTGATTAACACATACAGAACAAATTTATCAGGTAATAAAAAATAGGCTATATTGCATGGAGGATTGCATCATGAGCTGACATCAGTTAGAGAACCACGACCATTTCGCAATGTCTTCTTCGATGAGTTACTGCCTCATCTTCAACCTGCTGAACCTTACTGGTCATGGCTTCTCACTAGAACCCCAAGTAACTGACTTCCTGAATGGCGTCAGTCGCTAGTGAGCAACAGATTAATTAATTTTCAAGTGGTTCCAGTGGTTCTCGAACTGATGTCAGCTCATGATGAACTCCTCCGTGCAATCAAACAAAATCCCTAGTCAACCAACACTTGAAAATAGGCTATATGACAAAAAAAGTCAATTTCTAAGGTAGTAGAAGCGATAAATACTGATAAAAATTGAAAACCAATCATGACAAAGGTTGTTGTCATGAGATACAATTGTTTATATCATTCATGGGGAATTTAAATACGTTCAAACTTCATATTGAAGTTTGCGCTGAAGATGTTGTATAGAAAGACAATGAAAGGTTCACTATTAAACCACAAATTAGTTCACAGAACACAAGCCAAGCCGGAATCATCCATCTGAGCTACAAACGTTTCCTACTGCTTCAACGAACAACCTCTTAGTTGTCCATTATTATTCATGTAAATCTGATTAGATAACCTATATGACATTATTATTTATATTAGGCTATGATGCAGACTGAAACAACTCAATGTTTTCTATGCTTTTTGTTAAACTCTTTCAGTATCAAAAGTATTGTATCTACAGAACACAGGAAATCAGAGTGGTCTTATTCCCAGTGGAAAAAGAAAAACAGACGACAGAACAAAAGCATCACTGAATACAATTACGCCTTAATGGACAGACAAGATTTATATTTCAGCTGCATTTCTGTGTATAACGAGACAATCAGATAAAAAAGTTTAATAAATTTTTGATTCTGTAAATTTTGTTTTACATTGTATCATGTCTTACATGAATACTGAAAGTGGTCTAGAGAAAAAAATAGAACCTTAAGAGGAGAAAAAGAAATCCTCACTAAATGATTTGGTTAGATTGATTCAATATATTCAAAGATTTGTAGGAAGGAAATGAGTGTACGGATATCAAATGTCACGCTGGCTAACTGAATTTTTGAAACCAGAACTTAACACAAAAGCGCGTAACAGCTCAAAGCGCTACACTCCATATAATAAACAAACGTAAGAAAAAAACAACCCACTGGTTATCATTACTTCAGATGACAACTCTCCGTGAGCTCTTACACGGCAGCGTGAGTTCGAGTAGAATACCCTGATTAGTGTGATATAGATTCGTGTCACTCCTTCCTTCATGGTCAGACATTGTCACACCGCCTCCAGATCAAGAAATATAACAGTTACTGGACGCCGGTGACACAATATACTCCACATTATACCATCATAAATTACTTCTTTAAAGATATTTCATTCTAACTAACTAACTAGTGAATAAATTTAAATTGTAACTGGTCAATGCTTCAAATGACAGGGAATCTAAGTAAAGAAAGTTCAAAAATGAAATCTCCTAGCAGAAATCTACATTTAACAAGGTAGGCTGAACTGTACTCACCTCCCTGTGATGTAGACTAAAATGATATTCAAGATGTGAGGACCTTTTAAGCGATTGTTCGCAAGTTTTAGTTCTCTGCTATCACCCTCTTATAGTATAATTTATTGTTCTTAATAGCATACAGTTAATAAGGACTTCGAATGATCAGCGAATGTGTTGTGGATTCAATAGTTAGTGTACAAAACAGTGAAAAGTTGCATAAACCAATAGTGAATAGGGAACCAGCTTCATACATCCAACTTATAAACCCAGACAATGAGGGCATTTCAAAGCAGTGACTACATTGAATCCAATAACATCAATGTCGGTATACCAATCCATTACCTGAAAGAACTGTTACTTCGATGCACCGTCAACGTATACTTTAGTTTCAACAAAGAAATATACAGGCAAGTAGATGGAGTAGCAATGGGTTCTCCCTTATGGCCCCTTCTAGCCGACTGCTTTATGGCTAGCTTAGAGAACAACGCCTTATCACCAACTATCAACGACCTCCATCTCTACAAGAGATACATCGATGATACTTTCATTATTTGTGATGAGAACTGTGATTTAAAAAACCTACTTCAAATCTTCAATAATGCCCACCCAAACATCGACTTCACACTTGAGACTGAATCCGACGGAATGTTCCACTTCCTCGACGTCCATCTGACAAGAAACGCCGACAACTCTCTGAAAAGGTCCATATACAAAAAGCCTACATGGAATGGACAATTCATCAATTTTCAAAGCTTCGTGCCCCTGAGCAGAAAGAGGAACCTGATATACGCTCTTTCCTCGAGGATTCGGAAGATATGCAGCGAGGAAGTGGTTGAAGAAGAACTGCGTAATCTTCGAAAAACCCTGATGGAAAACGGTTTCCCGCCCAGGTTCATAGACAAGAATCTCAAACCTAAGAAGACTTCTGAACAAGTCCAATCCGTTCCAAAGAAAATGCTTCTGCTTAATCTAGAATTCAAAGGTGATATTAAAGCAGAAATCCTTCGCAGACGCCTCTCAAAATCGCTGAGGAAAACATACTTCGCCGCTAGCCTACGACTGACGTTTTCCTGCAAGAAACTGTTCAGCCAGAACGCGAAAGACAAGCTGTCGCATTGGGCCACCTCAACGTGCATATACCAGTTTACTTGCTCTTGTGGAGCTGAGTACGTTGGCCGTACCATGCGCCGACTTGAAAAACGCGCTCGTGAACACTATCCAGCCTGGCTAGTAAAAGGAGAACGAAAACGGGTAAATAGTTCGGTGACAGAACATCTGGTGAATTCAGGACATTCAGCGCCACTCGAAAAATCCTTCAAAATCATTTACAAGATTCGATCAAACCTATCAAAGGGAGTAAAATCAAGACATCTGGGCATAGCCGAGGCGCTAGCTATACAAAAGCTCAAACCCACGCTTTGTATACAAAAGAAATACGTCCAACCCCTGTCCTTGCCATGGCCATCATAAACAGATAATTTTTAGTAATCACCATCCCATCTCCTTTCTTATCTAAACTTCCTGTTTATTCATGTTATTTCAAGTTTTTCTTAATCCCTGTTTACACTACCATATTTTCATACCCGAACTTAGTATTTATTTTGTCATTTTACTATTTCTACATATTTAATCCTTGATTGCATAAACAATTATTCATCACATTAGTTTTTATCCAAACATCCTGTCTATTTTGTTATTTCTACATTCCTAACCCCTAATTGCACAATGTCAGTCATCTTAGTTATTATAATGCTACTTTGTTTGTTTTATCCATCCCCCTGTTTATTATGGCATTCTCATTCCCAATTTTAATTTTTATTAATTTGACCCTTGACCGGATATTATTCTGGAACTTTCCCATCCATTTGATATAAATACACGAATGTACAGCCTAGATGATGACTTCGTCGAAAAGAAAATTTTCTTCGCTGCAACTGTCTTCTTATTTACTTATATTATTGATGTTTCATGTAATTATGCTGGTATATTTTGGTCAACTTATTGAAGCTATATAATAAACAACGGACGAGAGTGGCGTTACTTCAAGAGAGAGGCATGCAATCGCCTATCACGATGCACCCTGAATTGTTATTATTAGATGGTTGGAGGCAATCGGAAGGAAGCCTTGACCTAGGTTTTGTGCTAGTTGGTGCTCATCATCAAGGAGTACCTGCAACCTTGAAGGAGCGCATGTTCCCTCTGAGATCTGAACTTGTGTCACCCATTGCTACAGTGAGAGTTGTTACCACTGAGCTATTAAGGCTCTTCATTGACCTCCTGTATGAGATACTTTGATCGAAAACAAGGGAGCACCATGCATCTAGTTGTTTGTTTGGTGCAGACATTAAGTTGTAGGACGGGCAGACGAATAGAAAGAAGGATTTGTGACCACACATCTGAGCATACTTCAAGAAACTTGTATATGAAAAGTGCACCTGGTTGCCACTTCTTAGACAGCTATCAAGCAATCGATGCATTCAAGTCCTTCAAAAAATTTAAGTTCAAGACAACTCCAGACTGCTACCTAGCACTGAAGCGATTGCCACTAAATGATTAAAACCGAATTTACGCATCCAGAAAGAAACCCTTGTTAAACCTACTTTAACCTTGATGAATATATACTTTATGTTATTTAATTGTTTCTTTGTTTTTTTTAAAAATTATATTTTGTTATGCAAATTTAATTTCCTACCCTAACTTTATTTTCATTTGTATTTTTAAACAAACCTGTTTTCACCTCTGTTCAACTGATTTATTTGACCCTTACATGTGAGTATTGTTGATTTCACGTCTCGATTCAATTTACAACATTCATTCTTAATTCTGGAATATTTCTCAATTATTTGTATAAATAATAACGAGCTTAACTAGGACTTTTATTCCTTTCTATTATACTATTTAATCGAGTGATGGTATTAATATCCTTTGCCTTCAAGTACAATAAAGTATCTGAATATTTTGTATATTGGTATGAAGTTCGTCATGTTTGTATGAACTTGACAAGGACCAATGAAATATAATGATGTCATTTTGTCCCTCCCTCAATGTGTTCTTTTTCCTTTGTTGAGGTTTATCAGGGGGAATAATTGTATTAAACTATCCTTCAGTCTGTTGTGTCAATCCCAAGCAAAATACTAAACCGCATCATCCTGGAAAGAATCAAACAAACCCTGGATGAAAAACTTCGACCGGAACAAGCTGGATACAGGAGAAACTAGTCATCTGTTGATCAAATGGCCACATTACGGATCATTATTGAACTAAGCCTGGAATGGCAGTCACTTCTCTATCTCAACTTCATAGACTTTGAAAACGCCTTCGACAGGGTTGATCGAGAGGTCATTTGGAAACTACTTCGCCACTAAGGGGTGCCGTGGACAATTATACATCTCATCCAACAGTTGCACGACAATGCTGCAAGCCGCCAAGTAACCCACAACGGGAAACTCACGGAATCCTCCGACAAGCTGGCTGCCTACTATCTTCAATGACTTTCCTGATTGTGGTAG